CCTATCCCCTGTGTGCCTTGCCTCCCACGACTATATTCATATACGTCAACATTGAGGCTATTTCCTTATTTAGGTAACTGATTAAGATGTTTAGGGCGAAGGGAAAAGACCTTCACATGGTCTTTATTGATCTAGAGAAAACTTATGATAGAACCTCGAAATTTAATTTGGTGGGTATTGGAAAAGAAAGGAATCTCTAGATACTATATCGACTTGGGGAGAGATATATACGAGGGAGTGCTAACTAGTGTGTGAACAACTAGTGGAGGGACGAGTGAGTTTTCAGTGACAATAGGTCTGCATCAAGGGTCAGCATTGAGCCCATACCCCTGTCTTAGTTATGAACGTCTTAACTAGGCACCTACAAGATGAGGTACCATGGTGTATGTTGTTCGCAGACCATAGTTTTGATCAATGAGACCCAAAGACGTCAACACAAAATCAGAACTTTGGAGGGATGCTCTAGAATTTAAATCTTTTAAAATTAGCCAAATTAAGACAGAGTATATGGAATACAAGTTTAATAATAGCAAGAGTATAGACGAAGAAGTAATTAAGATCGACGGCCAATAAATACCAAAAAGAGCGTATTTTCGATCTCTTGGACTGATAATCTAGGAAAATGGAGAGATTGAGGAAGATGTCACATATAGAATTAGTGTTGTGTGAGCAAAGTAGAAATATGCAACCGGAGTTTATGTGATCGACGCAATATCAATGAAGTTGAAGGGCAAGTTCTATAGAACAATTGTGAGACCGGCTTTGCTTTATAGGGCAGAATGTTGGGCGGTCAAGAAACAACATACCCATAAGATGAGTGTAGCTGAGATAAGGATGTTGACATGGATTAGGGACAAGACAAGAAAGGATAGTATTCGAAATGAATATATTTGGGAGAACTTAGGTGTGGCTTCATTAGGCGATACGATGAGATAAAATAGACTTAGGTCGGCTGGCCATGTGCAGCACAAACCTAGTAACACACCTGTTAGGAGGTGCAAATTAGTTCAAGTGGAAGGTTCAAAGGGCAAGGGGTAGGCCCAAAAGAGTATGGTTGGAAGTAATGACAAAAGATGTGGGGACTTATAGTCTCACTGTGGGTATAGCCCTTAATAGAGCATAATAGTAAACTGGGATTCTTGTAGCTGACCCTAAATAGTTGGGAAAAGGCTCTAATGATGATGT